ATGACAACAAGGTTAAACAACCGTTCAACCAACACAACAACAAGACAGACACGACTGACTCAACACTGGCTCTGATACCACTTAATGTAACACCCCCTTTCTATACCCCCAAATTAATCAAATAAATCAATTAGGCACTTAGAAAATTTATTTCATCAGAGTTTAATTAAAACATGGTATAAAAGAGGCGCATCACATTATCATGAAATTAAACACATACGATACCTGCTCAAAATAGATATGCAACAATGGGTAACCCACATCTCAATATTTAGAATAAAGCGGAAACATCCAAATATTGAATCGATCTCATTCATAAAAGTATATACAACCATCAGTTAATTCATGCTTTACAACCTAACCACAGCAGATACATACACATATGTATCACAAAAGAATCAAAACAAATGTAACTCCAAAAGAGTCAAAGGCTTCCTAACTACCCAGATGTTACATATCAGAGCCATTGACCAAAAAGAATGAAGACATCGCTTCACAAAAAGAACCTCCAGCTTCCTACTCTGCAATGCCTCATAGAGCATCATAAAACAGCAGAAGGGTGAGAAACAACATCATAACAGTTAATGCATAAAATTGTATATATACATATACTCACATTTGTACAAGTTATACTCAAATTATGTTCTCACCACATTAAGCATATACAAATAATCATGTCTCTACACATACACATGAACATTCACTATATTTTCCTCCAAACAATCATATATAACATACACAGTTATATTCACACAACGAATGCATCATACACAGATGACTCATGCAACTCATAGAGACCGACACACGACTCTATGCAGATGCAAATGCGGTACCGACTCATTCAACAAATTCCCTAAGGAATCGAGTATTCAGCAGACCCTCCACGGGATCAAGTACTCAGCAGATTCTCCACGGAATCAAATATTCATCAGATTCTCCACGGAATCGAATATTCAGCAGATCCTCCACGGGATCAAGTACTCAGCAGATTCTCCACGGAATCAAATACTCTAACCAATCCTCCACGGGATTACATGATATGACTGATTCTCCGAGGAATCACACAATGCAACCGATTCTCCAAGGAATCAAATATAACCATCGTATCATACGAGGTTCTGCAAATCCTCCGAGGGATCAATCAACACACAAATGCATACTATGCTCACAAACATATTCATTGCATATATCATATACATAGCATATATCTATCATGCATTCACATTATACACCATTCCACACATGGTTTACACACATATCAGCCTATCAATGCATTTCTATTCAATTCGAGCAAATACACAAGATTATCAAATATTCAAGATTTATCATTTACTCTACAATCTAGGATTCACGCCTTTCGGCCACCCACAGCACGACATGTCAAAATAGTTCACACATCAATCATTCATATAGGCATTAATCATAATTGAATCAACCAAACATCATGCTATGAACAAACAGCAAAACAAAATAACACTGCCAGGTTCGCCAACCTTCGCCTGGCGAAGCCACGCAGCGAATGCTCGCTGGCCTTCGCCTGGCGAACTCCCCAGCGAAGTCCACTGGGAGTAATTCTGGAATTACTCGCTGAGGCTCGCTACCCACTCGCCTGGCGAACCTTCGCCAACTCACCTCGCCTGGCGAACTTGCCAGCGAATACAGGGTATTAGCTTCTGACTTGCTTCGCTACAGCTCGCTGGGCTTCGCCTGGCGAAGCTTCGCTGCCATTCGCCTGGCGAACTTGCGAAGACAGAACTTCCATGGCTGTCTCAAAGCCCAAACTCCACACAACCGACCGATTAAATCCAAACCAGTCACAGTAGCACAACCCAACCATCACCCGACTAAACTACATCGTCTAATCCGATTTCTAACCGATTAAAACCTCATTCTACTCACAAAACCAACTTCTATCCTAAGTGGAAAAAGAGTAGAAACTCTACAAAATCCACACACACATACACATACAATCATACACATTAAAGAGATGATGGAGTTTCACACCCTTACCGATCGATTGCAAGCTTTGGTAATGATTCCTTGATGATTCTAGGTTTTCCTCTCCACTTTCTCTTCTCTTTCTCTTCTCTTCTTTTCTTTCTCTTGTTTTTCTTCTTATGTTACTATCTTTCTTCCTTTTCCTCTCTTATTCTATTTTCATCTCTATTTCTTTCCTCTCAAATTCTTTCCAACACTAACCAATCAATTCTCACACTAAGTGCTAAATGTCTAAAATGCCCTTTTTACTCTAATTCCCCGAAAACTCTCCGAATCGGTAAAAATAGATAAAATAAGCAAACACCACATAATAACAATATATAATTTCTCAATTTAAACAAACATCAATTAAATAAATTAAAAGACTCAACAATTAATGGGAATTCAGAATCGGGGCGTTACACTTCTCCTTTCCCATATTTGTTAGAGTCTATTCTCTAGAGCCTTGTAGCCAATTCTTATCCCCAACATTTTGACTATCACTCCCTTTTTCCGAGGTTTGGTAATTCTCTTTTCTTTTATGTCTGATAGTATGATTTCGGGACAATCAAACTCTCCATATTTCATCTCTTCAATTCTTAAATATTCTTCTATCCTTCTACTTCCCATATTTCCTCATGATGCTTGGCTTGATTCTCGTCCTCATTCTTGTCATCAAAATTTTCTCCAAACACCATATCTTTATATGAGATTACTTTGACATTTTCTTCAGCTTCCATTTTAAAGTTTCAACATATCGTATTTGACTATTGACTAATGGAATGGATATATACCGCCTCCTTATCTTTAACCTTTTTGGTGCTCCTATCTTTCAAGTCTTCTTCTTTACGTGTGATCTTTTGGTTTGCATCAGCAACCCCTAGCAATGGATAGTTCATGAAACACTCAGGCTAGAAAGTTAAATGATGAATGTTTCTGATTTGAACTTACTTACACCACATTTATACATGATTTCTCAATTTTTTGTGCTATTTGTGGAGTTTTTTTTTTTTTTTGATATTATATTAGAGGTGAATATTTATCAAGATTTATTACTTAAATAATTCAAATTTAAAGTAATTTAATTTATGTTTATTTTTAATTAATTATCACCAAATAAAAAAGAACTAACATAATATAACATAGAATTAAATATTGCAAATGTGGTATTAATACATCATCAAGTATACCTACATGTCATAAAATTTTAGTCTAAAATTAGAATGATGACTAAAATTTTAAAAAACATAATAGAAAAACTAATAAATTAAATTTTAAAATAGAGAAAGCAAAAATGAAAATAAATGGAGATCAAAATAGCAATTAAGTCAAACAAATTTATTGGGTGCAAATTAAAAATATATATATTGAGGGAATGAAAACCTTCTTAAATGTATAAACCCGAACCTTCTTCCAAACCTATATTCTTATGAGAATTATAACGTCCACTACCTCACCATAAAGTCCAAAAATTCTTCAGAAACCCAACAACAAAAATCATGTAGAAATGTTTATGGAAAAGAAGTAGATGCAATCAATAGTATGAGATTTTAGACATCTTAACATTAACAATCTCATATCAGATAATATATAATTTACAGTAGTACTAATGTGTGAAAATTTAAAAGAATTATATTAAAGTTATATTTGAATAAATAACTTATTTTCCATTTGTATCATAAATATTTAAAATAATAAATTCTTATGTGTAAAAACTTACATAAGATTAGATATTTCTTATAAGATAAAAAAAAATATTAAATTATTTTTATATATATTATAAGTTATTTTTATTAAATATTATTGAGAATTTATAGAAATAAAATAAAATAAAAATTATAAAAATATAATAAATTGTTTTAATAAATTCTTCAAATAATATAATAACATTTATGTCCGAAAATAATTTTAAATAAATCAATTCAAACATGTACTAAATAGAATAATGTGCAAATTTATAACCGGAAAACATCTCTTAAGGTTACTATTTGTTTTGTCAAAAAAAATACAGGGTGTGGTGTGTTCCCCCTACAAGAGTAAGGAGACTCAAAGACTCTAGTAGGCATATTACATGAGTGGGGTGATGGTTAATTCACGATGGAGAATAGCCTGGTACGGTGGTTTTTGAGGTTCTTTAAGGGACAAACTCATATTAGGTGGGAGACTCTGTTGGTGGCCGGTGTAACACCACATTTTTTTAATTAATTAATTTTTTTGAGTTTTATGTGTTGATGTGATTTATCGGAGTGCTATATGTGTTTTGTGGGGTTAATTGAGGTGAGATAGAATTTGTATTATTTATCATTATTTTTAGTTAATTAAAATAAGAGTTTAATATGTCAGGGTCTTCATAAATATGCCAACATTCAATTTTAGTCTCTATAAAATTTTTCTTTTGACAATGGTCCTTGCAAATTTTGCCGTCTCTGAAATTGGTCTCTCTTGTTAGTTTTCACTAACAGAGACTTACGTGGCATGCCAAATGTGTATTTTTTTAATTGACACATCATATTTTTATTAAATTAATTATTTTTCTTTTATATTAAAGCCAAGCCAAATGCAGAAACCATAATTGGTCACTACTTAGTTTTCTCCACTTGTTGTTTTTCATATCCCCTTCTTCTTCTTCTGCGTTTCATCTCTTCCGTCTTCCTCACCTTGGTCTTCTTCGTTTACTATAGATTACTGATATTATTACTGATATCATGTCATCTTCATCAAGGCAAAGCAAATCAGTATCTTATCATTCCACAAGTGTGAGCAACCGTAAAATGAGAAAGTGTAGGTGTAATGGTCGTATGATACCATACATGTTCAAGAACGGGCATAATAAAGGGAGAATGTTTTAGAGATGTCCGTTTTAAAAAAACGAGGAAACTTGCAATATATTCATTTGGGATGATGATATTGCACAAGAAAATGATGAGTATGAATGTGTAGATGAATAATGGAGTAAAGATGAGAGCAAGGTGAGGGAGATGCAAGCTATAATCACCACTACTTTCGCATAATTTGTCATCATCTTAATCACATGGCTTCCCCTTTCCTTTATCTTTAACTGTGTCCATAAAGGTGGCCTCACCTATAAGTGATTTTGGCTCACATAATATCTCAACTTCACAATTATTTATAATAACATACATAGCTAACTCAAAAGCATCTCCATCATCCCTAAATTGTTTTAAATCTTCTTGAAAGGATCCTTCATCATGTTTCCACCACATCTTAACACAACTCAAATCAAACTCAGAGTCAATCACTTTAACTAAGTCACATGCTTCAAAAAAAGACCAGTAATCAGGATCTTGACCAGTAAAAGCATATACTTTCCTACCATCATATCTTATGTTAGGGTCTTTTACAAAATAGCCCTTTGAGTAAAATAAAACCTTAAATTTATCCATTTTTTGTTCAAAAATTTAACTTAGGTTTAAAATTTACCAAAATTAGGTCAAACAAATTTACCAAAATTAGTTCTAACAAGTTTACCAAAATTAGGTCAAACAAATTTACTAAAAACTTAACTTTTATACGAATACAACGTGGTAATAATATGCAACATAGTGAATAAAATGGGACCACTAAATGCAACTAAGTATGAAAAAGAAACGAAGATGACAAAGCATAAGAAACGAGGGAACAAAGCAACGACAAAGTGAATTACCTGGGACCACTGCAATGAATATTAGAAAGTTGTTTTTGGGACCACTGCAACGAAGACTTGTTCCTTGACCACATAGAAGCTCTTTTCAACGCAGATGATGTTTTTTTCTAGGGAACGATACTCAATCAAAATGTTAGGTTTGTAGGGTAACAAGATAACATTATCAACTATTCCACCGTGGCGAGTTAGTGATTACAATTCACACACAAGTAAAAAAATACACATTTGGCATGACATGTAGGCCTCCGTTAGTAGAAACTAACAGGATGGACCAAATTTAGGGACATAAAAGATTGTGAGGACCATTGTTTAAAGAAAAACTTTAGAGGAAGTAAAATTGAATGTTGACATATTTATAGGCATTAAAAATATATTTAACCCTTAAAATGATAGAAGAAAGTAGAGAAAAAAAAAAGAAATATTGAGGTATGAGGTGGAATAGGATAAAAAAGTGATTGGTGTGGTAAGGAGTGAGAGACCAAAAGTGAAGGGGGAGAATTAGAAATAATAAATATTAAATTAGGTTTTTTATTTAAAATAAAATTGGAGACAAAAGTAGGTTATGCAGTATGTAAACATTTGGAGCAAAATAGGAGTTTGAGAGGCAATGGCAAAACCTAGGATTCCAAGCAAAACCTTCAATTTTTTGCAGAATTCAGGTATGAGGAAATTATTCACTGTTGGGTGTATATTTCATAAAGGATGGTGAGGGATTCTCACCCTCTTCATTATTTATTATATTTTTCCTTCATTGGTGAGTTATGGATGAGAAGAAGGTTCGTGTAGAAACCTTTCTCCAAAATGTTGCGATAGATGTTAATTCATGTGTTGATTTGTCTGTGAAATTCGTATATGATTTATATGTAAAAATCTAAATGTTGATTGTTCATGTTGCTATGCCTAATATGAGAAACATGTGAATTGGTTTGGTGAAAATTTGTGGAATAAATGATGAATCTATGTGCAAATGATGTATTAAACATGGAATATATATATGAGGGGTTATGGGTTGAAATAAGAGCTTTGGAAGTGCTCCAATGGAAGAAAACACAGTTCTGCCTTCTACACAGCGGTGACGGGCGTCACCTGGATAACGAGCCAACCTTCACTACGCTGGGTGAGTGGATGAGCATCAACATGGGGACGAGGAGACCTTAATGGTTCCCTAGATAAGATTCTTTCCCCGGGCGTCACAAGGTGATGGGTTTGGGTGGGGGGAAGGGTGACTGGTTGTTATGACGACCTTCATGATGGATGGGTTAACCGTCAGCTTTTTGGTTGACCGGTTTTGCATTGTCAGTTCATTTTTTCGAGTTGCTTTCAATTCCAGCAACTGTTTGTTTCTATTTTATTGAGTTTGGTGAGTTGGAAAGTAAAGTTGTTGTCTTTTAAGAAATCTTTGATTTTGGTCTGATGAGATATAAGTAAATTGTTGTTGAATGCTTGTATGATTATGTGTTCTTGAGTCATAATTACATAACATGTTTATGATGTTGGATTGGTTACCTAATTGGTGATGTATGTGGTTCGAAGAGGAACCGGTGATAACTATTGCATTTTTATGTGTTGTTGCATTTCATGCATCATGGTGTACACACTTCAGTCCAATATTGTGTTGTTGCTTTAGAAGGGGGGCCAATGATGGGTCACTGGTTCTTAAGGGGGGGTCAGTGAAGTTTATGGTTTGAAGGGGGACCATCAGTGTGTCACTGATTGCTTATTCAAGAAGGGGATCAATGATATTTATGGTTTGAAGAGGGAACCATTTGTGATATGGACTAATTTAGTAACATCCTTTTGATGTCCAAATTGGTACCACGTGTATATAGAGTCGAGGAGTTGATGCATTGCATACATACATGCTTTACGATTGAGTTATTATTGTATTTATTGCATTGTGGTAAATGATAATCGTGTGATTGGTAATTGCTTGAATTATACTATTCTTTATTGTTTATGTACCACTAACTCTGTTGAATGTATTCTCACCCCCTGGTTGTTTTGCTTGTGGATGACATTGAGGCCTCTTCATTTATTTATAGTGTTTTTAGTTTTTTAGTTTTTGCATCGATCTGATATGTAACACTGGGGAATGGTTGCTTTATTACATGCTACATTTTATTAAGATGTTTGAATTATTTTACTTAGAAATTTCTTCTGATACCAATAAATGTTTTCTTTGAAGCTTTAATATTTTATTTCAGTGCATGATTCATGTTATAATTTATGAGAAAAATGTATGTTGTGAATGTGTAACACCGAGGTTGTGTAAACTTATAAGTTTTATTCTCATAAATTAAGGGATGGTTCTAGCTGATGAGGGAAAATGAAAGTTCCAACTGAAGACCGCAAGAGGGAAAGAAACAAGTGGGGGAGGCACTTCTGCTTCTCTAAGATGATTCATGTGTAGAAAGTCAGATCATCGTGTTATTGAGTATAAGAGACATGCCAAAAGTGTTTCAAGTGTGGGAAACAAGGACAACATATTTCTGAGTGCAAGAGTAATGTTCCAACTTGTTACAACTATGGTGAATCGGGTCACATCATTACCCAGTGTCAAAAACAGAAGAAGGAACCATCTGCCGCAAAAGCTAGTGGTAGAGTGTTTACTTTGATTGGTGTGGATGTTTCGAGATCAGATAATTTAATTCAAGGTATGTGTTTCATTTATGGCATTTTTATTATTGCTATTATTGATATTGGTGTGACGCGTTTGTTTATATCTCTTGATTATGTCAACAAGTTGAATCTTGAAGTGTCTTTCATGATTGGAAGTATGGCCATTGATACCCCAACAAATGGTTCGTTGACTACTTTAGTGGCATGTTTAAATTTTCCCTCACCAAATTGATAATCCCTATTACTAAGGGTGGTTTTTCTAGACAATACTTTTCTCATGTACGAGTGAAATATAAGGCGAGTCCCTCCGCTAAAGGTGCATGCAATAGTAGGTGGGATTATTGATTATAGTCCCTACCTGGTGAGTCAACTTCCATGTGTTTATCACTCAATTATGGCAATTCATCTGAGATATCAACCAATCACGATGTGAACATGTTCTCTTTCATTTAATGCAAACAATGATGGCATATTTCTTGATATTGCAAATGATAGTTCCACGTGTAGGTAGCGTGCTGAGTTTCGCAAAATATTGAAGGATTTAGAGTTCCCAAATAAGTAGGACTTTGTTATTCCACTTTACTTTCTGCAACTTTTCTCGAGCCATCCCCTTTTGTATTTTCCAACGCGGCCTCCAACATTTTCATAGTATGAGATTATTTCCTTTCTTTAATTTCATATGCTAGATCCTAGGGGGTTTGTATGGTAGAGACCTATGGTGTTAGATATAGGATTCCTGGGTAGGTAGTTCTTTTCCAATGTTTGCGACGGTGGTGGTGAATTATTTTGTTCTATTGTTTTCTCAGGAACAAATTTCCTCCTCCTCCTTCGTTTCCAAGAGCATGGGTGACTTTATCTCCATTTTCTCTTTCGAGGAATACACTTGTGTCTTCTTGGTGGGAGTGGGCGTCTCCCCCTCGAGGGATGATGATCGAGTTATTCTAGAGAGTTGTTTACCTTCAGAGTGGGTGACCCTGCCAGTTTCCTCCCATCCCCCTTGTTATACTTCTATTTTTAACCTCCTTTATCAAAGAAATGAGGGTCATTTTTCCTCTATACTCATTCTCCACAAAGATCCTTAGGGTGCTTAACATTGCCCATTCACAATTATTTCTAAACAGTTGGGGTTACGTTAGGGCTTTCGAGATGGTTTGTAAGAAGTTGGACATTAACCCTACTATTGGGTCTTATTCTCTTTCTTCGTTACCAAACCGGTAAAAGGGAGCTAGGTGACTTTGAACAACCGGCAGGCCCAAGGGATTTTTTACCCTTCACTCTAAAAAATATATATATTGGAAAGACAAGTTTGTCTGGGTGAGGGGCCGAGAGGATTCCCTTGGTATGCTAGATTCTGACATCATTCCTCTCTCCATGTTATCTAGGAGGTAGGTCTCGTCAATAATCACAAACTAGAATCGGAATTCCTATCCCTTTAAGAGAGAAGGATCGTTCGCTTGTTAGGGCAGTTTGGGGTTATGAACTGTCGGGAAGTGATTAAGCTCAAGCGAGAGGGTGACGATCATCACGCTGCCTATATAGGTATGATATTTTTGTTATTTTTGCTTGTGGGGCCTCATATCCTTTTTTAACCCATATTTTGTTTATGTAGATCAAATGGCCAAGACCTCCGCCCAAGAGCCCAAGGAGAGATGGGAGATGATCAAATATGCTAATTCAGGCATCAATGGTCCAAAAAGCAATTCTGGAGGGGATGAGCATCTGTGGGCAGAAAAGAGAGGCTAAGACTTCTACCTCGGCGTTGCCGAAAGCTAAAAGCTCAACGATTTGAGGATGATCCTTCTTTTTTTATGAGTCAGGAAGTGGAGCCCATTGAGGGCATGGATCTTACACCCTAGTGGAGTGATGCCAATCCTAACCTAATTCGCTTCAAAAAATCAGACCTCCCATTTTCTAAAGAGTTCCCTACAGAGTAACAAACCTTTTGTTCATAAACTCCTTACACTATCAAGAATATGAATGTTACCCTTCTATTAAGGGCGTTGATGCTTCAAGATGTTGAACAAGGACAATATGACATGTATGAAAATGGCTTAGAGGCAAGGCTCTAGGAGAAAACGAAAGCATACAATGAAAGTCAGCAGTTGTTGTAATCCCTCCGAAAGGACGAGGAGAAGTGGGAGAAAAGGCTAAAGGATGCCAAAGCTAAAGCAATGGAGGTAACCACCGAGAAAAAATATTTGTAAGACTCATTGGATGCGGCTCTCCTCCACCAAGATGATTTGGAGAAGGAGGTATCAGATATAATTAACAAACTGATGTTGGTTGTCGGGGTATTCTTTTAGCAGGCCAAGGAGCAAGTCCTCTTCTTATACCCTGATCTCGATTTGAGCCTTTTAGATCCTTTTAAGGATGTGAAAGGTGGAGCGCTGGTGGATGAGGCGATAATCTTCCCTGAACTCGAGCTTATCCTCTTACAAGAGGAAAGTGTAGTAAGAGAGGAAGGAGATCCTGGGAGTTGGGAGTCAGAGCCTGCTGTTATGAAAGAGGAAGTCCCCGAAGATAGATGCTTCTCCCTTTGTGGATTTTTGTTTTTTATTTTATTCCCTTTTAACTCCCTTGGGGAGCTTTTGTAATTGTATGGAATAGCGGCGCCCTTCAAGGGGTGTCTTTATGTTTACTTTTTAATTTTTAAATGCTTTTGTCGTTCTTTTCTTTAGATGCCTTGCAGCTATGGTCACCCCCCTTTGGGCGGCAAAGATCTATCCTTAAGAGATTCAACAAATATTATTGTCTCGAATGGGAAGCGAGGATCCACCCTTGGGGGATCCAGTAAATGTAATTGCCTCTTTGGGCGGAGAGAATCCAGTAAATATAATTTCATATATAGGCAACAAGGATCCACCCTTGGGGGGTCCAGCAAATATAATTACCGCTATGGATGGCAAGGATTCACTCTTGGGGATCCAACAAATATAATTCCCTCTATCGGTGGCAAGGATCCACCCTTGGGGGATCTAGAAAATATAATTGTCTCTATGGGTGGCAAGGATCCACCATTGGGGGATCCAACAAATACAATTGCATCTATGGGCGGCAAGGATCTATCTTTGGGGGATCCAAAAAATATAATTTCCTCTATGGGCGATAAGGATCGACCCTTGGGGGATCCAGTAAATATAATTTCCTCTATGGACGGTAAGGATCCACCCTTGGGGAATCCATCAAATATAATTTCCTATATGGCGACAAGGATCCACCTTTGGGGGATCCATCAAATATATTTGCCTCTATGGGTGGCAAGGATCCATCAAATATAATTGTTTTGTTCCTTCTGGAATTGTATTTTCTACATAGATATGGAATAAGCAATAAACATAGATAAAAGATGGGGTGCCTCATTAAAAACCCACGCCATTCGGGAGGTGCAGAGGGAAAAGAGTGCATCCCAGTTAACAACATGTGCTTACAACTAACAGATTATAAATACTTTCTTATAGAAAAACGTCGACTAAGTAAAATAACAGAAGATAAAGCAACTACAGGAATAATAGAAATAGAATGGCATAGCAACAGTCCCAAGGAGAAGGTATCTCCTCTTGCCCTCATACTTTGTCGCATGGTGGGGATGGGTGGGAAGCTTCCATGTCCTCGCCAGTTTCTTTGAGCGGAGTAATCCCGGAGTTGGCCGTTTTTGCCCTTACGCCTGAAGGGTGTGACTTAATTAGTTTGGGGATTTCTACATGGCATTTCATGGTAATTTCCTGATCTCCTTGAACCACTCTAACTCGCCCATTAAGGAGCATGCATTTCATGCATAAATACAAGGTAGACAAAGCGGTTCCCAGTCGGTTAAAGGATGGTCGCCCAATAATCATATTATATGAAGAAAGGGCGTCAATGACTAAGTACTTAACCTTTATTTTCTTAGTGTGATCCTGCTCATCGAACGTCATCCCGAGGGTGAGTTAGCCTTTCACCTGTACTTGTTCTTTTGAGAATCCCACCATTCATCCCTGGAAGGGCTTCAGATCCTTAGGGTCAAGGCGCACTCTCTCAAAGGCGTCCAAATATAGTATATTGGTGGAGCTTCCCTGAACGAATAAGACTTTTCAAATCTCCCTTTATTTGTACTTGAAGGTGATGACCATGGGATCATCATTGTGAGGATGTTGATGCATCTTCTTTCTGAGAAGACAACCACGACTTCTATAACCATCTTGCTTGTGATCTCAAAGATGTTGTCTATACTCAAGACTTGACGGGCGTATAATTTACGGGCGGAGTTGGTCTCACCGCCCCCGACGAATCCTCGGGATATGGTGTTAAGAGTGTGATGCACTGGTTTCTCACCTTCGTGTTGAGACGCTCCTTTATCCTTGCCTAACCCCGGGCTTCTGGTATCCTCTCATTCTTGTAGGTTGCATCATTCCGCGTGGTTGGAGGGACTGCTCTTTATGTATATCTTAAGGTGGCCTTTATGTATCACCTTTTCTATTTCATTTTGGAACTAGTAACAATCATCAGCGTGATGTCCTTTGACCTTATGGAATTTACAACACCTTTCGGGGTCGAATCCCATTATCTCGGATCTGAGGGAAGGTGGCGTTGAGATATTATGTAAGTGAAACACCACACACAAAATATGTTCTCGGTGAGTGTTTAAAGGCGGGAAATTCTTCATCGTCTTCCCCATCCTATTGAACAGAGATTTGTCCTTCACAAGCGAGGTGTTGCTATTCTTCTTTGAGGGATGATAGCTTTTGGCATCGTTAACACGCTCATTGGAATCCTGAGCGTTATTTTCAGCATTGCTTTCCTCATCTTTGAAGTAGCATTCTTCCCTGGCAACTACTTAGGTCAGCGAGAGCACCGACCTTTGGGTGATGGACTCATTAAAGTGTCCCGCGTTGAGTGTGTTCTAGAATGCTCTGGTGGACCCTAGGGGATGTTGAACAGTATGGTAGTGGACATCTTCCTATGGCATCTGGCGGTGAACTAGTGCACCATATTTCTCACAAGTTCCTTGTAGTAGTTAATAGAGGCCCGAGGGAAACCCATGTACCATCGAAGGGTGGCCTCCATAAAAGTACCTAACAACAGCTTACACTTTATAGAGTTTGGTGCTTCTATGATGAGCACCTGGGTGTTGATGGGGACAACGTGTTTGTAGGGGTTGTTGCGTCCATCAAACTTGGATAAGGATGAAGGTTTGAAACCTCCAGGAATAGGGACCCCCCCCCCCCCCCCATATTTCATCCGAGAGAGGCTGGGGATCTAGAAGTTTCGTCTCTTTAAGGAAATTGGCCTCCTTTTGGCACTACCCGATATTATGGATGTCATCCTCCAATGTTCGATTATGACATCGTAATTTGTCCATGTCAATTTGCATCTCCGCCATGATCTCAGCCTCGTCTGTACCATTGGTACCCTCAAAAGTAATGAATGAAGCTATTTCTATTCACCAGACTGGTAATAGCTAGGTGCTGGAGATGAGGGTACGATAGGGAAAATGATGTTTGTTAAAAGGAGGTGTGATCAAGGTTAGTTTTACCGGACGCCAATGTACTGTCTAAAAAAGTACATGGTGTGTGCGTGTTTCCCCTGCGAGAGTAAGGGGACTCAGAGGCTCTAGTAGGTATACTACACAAGTGTGGTGAGGGCTAGCTCATCGTGGTGAATAGCCCTGTACGATAGTTTTTGAGGTTACTTAAGAGACCGTCTCACGCGAGGTGAGAGACGCTGTTGGTAGCGGGCATTACTAGGTTATAGGCGGGCAGTTAAGTTATCGGTGTTAGGACTTCTATGAGCGATGTGCTCTCTGAACAGTCTTAGGTGCTATTGAGTGAATCTAACTTATTCTCCTTTTATATTTGAGGGATAATTTATTTATAGAGATTCTCCAAGATTATGGATTATGACCCCCTTCAGGACGTTTCCTTAACCATTCCCCTTTATTATAAAGATTATTAACCGGCTCTAATACCGGAATTAACGAAAATTTTCTCTCATTTAACTTTCATATTTGACGAATTGCATGGGCGGTCCCAATAAATTCCACCCGAAAGGCCCAATAGACAGGCAAGAGACGCCCTAATATAAGACTTTGCTAAATAGGTTCCTCCACTATCAAAGATGTATGCATATTTAATTAAAATTTTCTTTTTTTTGGCTTAAACATTTGATTTGATAGCCAAGTACAAGATGAAACCGTGTAAGAATTTAACTATTTTCAGGTGTTGGTTTTAGGTCTCTGTTTTTCTACACAAAGGTGATCAAAATCATTCAATACAAGCTACCCGAAACATGACTCCAAAATTCACATCTCGAATCCTCTTTCTTCATCTACTACTCGTCACGGTATCTTAACTTTTCTCTCTCTTTCTTTCTTGAAACTCTATTTACATATTCTAATTCTGATATTCTCTGCAGAGTTTTTATGGAAACAGAGCAAGAGATTTGGTTGAAACAGAGAACAAACTCTTGGATATATCACAAAATGGCACTAATGAACCCCAAAAAGAACACAAACATCATGAACATAATCATAATCACAATCACATGGACCCTTCTGTTATGGTGTTCTTCACCTTACAAGATTTAAAAGTTGGAAAAAGAATGCAAATTTATTTTCCCAAAAGAAACCCTTCAACTTCCCCCAAGTTTTGGCCAAAAGACAAAGCTGATTCACTTCCCTTTTCATTGAACAAACTTCAAACCCTTCTCAAAATCTTCTCTTTCTCTCATGATTCTCCTCAAGCCAAAGCAATGGTAGACACGCTTACAGAATGCGAGAGTAAACCGATCCAAGGAGAACTCAAATACTGCGCAACTTCTTTGGAATCTATGCTAGATTTTACTCAAAGAACTCTCGGTTTTTCCAATGATCTTCAAGTTTATGCAACTTCCCATTTAACAAAATCAAGTGTGACTTTCCAGAACTACACTATAATAGAAAATATTGTTCGGATTTCAGCTCCGAAGATGGTGGCATGTCACACTATGCCTTACCCTTATGCTGTTTTCTACTGCCATAGTCAAGATAGTGAGAATAGGTTATACAGAGTCTCGCTTGTCGGTGATAATGGTGATAAGGTTGAAGCTATGGTTGTTTGTCATATGGACACTTCTCATTGGGGACATGGTCACGTTTCATTTCAGGTTCTTGGTGTTGCGCCGGGAAGTTCGAATGTGTGCCACTTTTTTCCAGCAGATAATTTCATCTGGGTTCCAAAGCTGCAAGTTCGTGGTGTTTCGGGCATGTGATTATAGTTTTAGTGAAAGTGTTTGAGTTTCTTTGTGATTGTTGAAATAAGTACTCTCTTCTGAGATAAGTAATATGTAAGTGTGTTTGTTTTTTATTTTGAGTATCTGTTATGAAATGAAAACTGATTATGCAGCAAATTAGAGATTTTCTATAAAGCACAATTAGATCACTCTCAATGATTTTGGAAACATTCACCAATTGATTATGCTAACAAAATAGCATCAGGCTATAACTTATTCAAATCTATGTATTTGACGAACACTTCGTTAAACCTGTAACTGAGGCCAGTAATGAAGTGTAACTCACAATAAAGTTACATTTAAGAAAACAAGGATATAATGAGTTTGGCAATTAGATGTTTGATGATTTTGATCCGAATGAGTAGTTAGTGGAAACCCTTTAAATTTTGAAAGATTGAACTAGCTAGCTATCAAATCCCATTTTTATGTTTTTCGACCTATTCAATTGTCATTATAACTCAGTCTCTCTTGAAAAAAAAATGTAAAAAATATGTCTTTCCTCTTATAATGAAAATTGTTATGTATTGGTCAAAGATTTGCGATCTGTGTCGGTCCAAGATATCTGGGATCCAAAGCTCATTGCAGTCAAAAGTTCAATAGTACGAGATCCATTATCCAACATGTTCCGTCAAACTCAAGATATAAATATATTTGTAAAAGGTTTTCAGGTACACAATCTCTAATCTCCACTTGCACTACTATTATCTTGAACCCTAAACTGATTTGGGTGTTGAATTGTTAACCATGCAAATACCCTTTAGGCCCGCTGTATCAAAGATAGCAAACATTGGTTAACAACATCGCATCGAGACCGATACCTCTGATTTAATAAATATCGTGATCACAACATTCGATCCACAGTATCACATTAACGTAGTGTATCGAAAGTTTTGATTCGTCGTAGTTTATGTAATCCTCACCATTTCTGATTCTACAACAGAACCAAAATGATGGTAAACAATGATATTTATGTTATTAGACTTTAAAGGAGAAGATTGAAAATATTGAAAATATATTATTCAAACATTTTAGTATGTTATACAACTCGTTTTCAGATGACAAAGATACTAGCATATATATAAAAATAAGGGTTAAATATATTTTATCCTCTGAAATGTGAGCGAATTTCACTTTACCCATGTAAATTATTTATTTTGGATTCTCTCTTGTAATATTTAGATTCCATTTATTTGCCCCCTTAGGTGACCTGACATGTTTAGGTGGAGTTTTTTTTATTTATTTTAATTTTAACTTATTTTTTAAAATCTACGTGAATTTTTTTTAACATTATTTTTTTTTAATTACGGAGGGGTAAATTAAAACTCGTTCAAATTGCATGGGGTAAACCAATATAAAACAATTATGCTTCATTTTTGTTTGTTTTATGCGGGTTCAAATCACCTTTAGTGGTGTTGTCAATCTTGTATTCATATTTTGTCCAATATTATATTCATGTGTACCTAATTTACGACCCACACTATATAATCTTTTTATGCTCCAAATCTTTCCCAAATTAGTTAGGATTTAAGATAACTAACAACAACTTATTATACTAATCAAGCTTACAACATTTTATTATACTAATAAAAAAATAGTTTATTCTTAGTACATCAAGTGTTACGAATGCTTAAGAACTTACATTCAACAATATCCATCATTAGATAAGTAGAGTTTCACACATTCTTAGTACATCAAGTGTTACGAATGCTTAAGAACTTACATTCAACAATATCCATCATTAGATAAGTAGAGTTCCACACATTTTTAGATAAGTAGAGTTCCATATATTTAAAAATATTCAACACCTTGCACATCACTATTTATTAGATAACATTTTTGCATTTTCATAGATGCATGATGACCATAACTTAACATATGACTAACGGTAACATAACATAGATAGACGATTACATAACTTAACAAAATAATAATACACAAGAAACTCGATCTTACTTACCTTTTCGTTCTCGGTGTAGAACAACATATCATTCAACTTAGATCTCAAGATGACGAGATATGCGGTGCCCTCTGGAAGCCAAAACTCTACGAGAAGTTTCACCCCGTTGAAATACACTTCTTCTTTAAATAAAATACGAGGTATTGTAAGATGATTTTCTTAACAACACATGACCCCTATTTATTTAACTTTGGATTAATTCTAGATCACACAAAAATGGTTGGTGCAATCATAGTCGTAAAAACTGTCGGCAAAATCTAAACCCTTGAAATAAAAACAGTCGGTTGAAGTTACATCAAAGTCGAGAAATTTCAGTGAATGTTGTTATTTAAAAAAATGCAAAAAATTGAAAGAGTTCCATAACAATGAATTTTTTTTTACGCTATATACTAAATTATGAGGGCAAAAATAAGGTCAAGATTTAACGCTAATTGCAGATAAGAAAATACAAACTCTTCAAGATAAAAAAAAAGTATAGTTTTCTAGATTTTAACTCTTAGTCTCTAGTATGAAAATTTTAAGCAATAGTTATACTGCTGCATATCATGTTTCTCATATAGTGGTGGTAGCAATGGTGTTTCTTCATATATTTGATGATGATGATGATGATGATGATGAATAAAACATTTTCAACAAATTTGATGCTCTGCAAAATAAACTAAAAGAGAAAGAATTGTTGATTGAGAAACTAGAAGCGTTGAACCAATTTCTAACTATTTAAGAGCAAGAGATGGATAACGAGTTGTTGGAAACTTAAAAAGTTGTGCGTGTGCGCGCGCGCGTGCGTGTGTGTTTGTGTGTCTGTGCGGGTGTGTGATTGTTTGTTTGTGTGTGTGTGTGTGCACACACAGGTGTGCATGTGTGCGTGCGCTTGTGTGTGTTTGCATGTGTATGTGTGTGTGCACGCACATGTGTGCATGTGTGTGTGTTTGCATGTGTATGTGTGAGCGTGCACGCGCGCGCGCGCGCGCGCGTGTGTGTGTGTGTGAACCAGAGTTTATAATGGTCTAATATTTTCATCCTCGTTGGGCATCTAATCGAGTCTCTTATGGATAAACAACATAAATTGTCTTCCATTATTTCATTATTTTTATATATACACAATTTCTTGGACCAGATCCTTGAATGAGAGATGAAGGAAATAAAATCTAACACTTGAGAGTGGACACTTCTTTTTCTCCTATGTAATTCACTTCTAGAATTCCATAATAGATGTTTATCTAGAACATTTAATCAAATATTTGCAATCTAATGAATTTCTCATAAACAAGATTACAATGTCTATGTGAATCAACCATTATTCACAAGATGAAGCTTATTGTGCTTTAGAAAGAAGATGAAATCCTCACACACATTAGAGAGAAGATGAATTTTCATAAAATCACTTACTTGATTTATGGTCTTATTTTGAAAAAATGAGGATTACAATCTATTATATGTGCTTGAGAAAACAAACAAAATTAGTGTAAAACATCATTAATGAGTTTTTCGAGCTGTGAATCGAGTCATGAATCAACTCATGTGACTTAATTCATAAAATCCCATATGACTTGAGTTACATTTACAGAATTAAAAATTGAATTGAAAGTTACATTCATGAATCGATTCATTGCCAACCTTGAATCGAGCCACATTTCCAAAATTGAAATGTGATTTTGGGCATAATATAATGGAAATGTGAAGAAGTTGCATGTTAACAATGGGACAAAATTCCGAAACATTTTTTTATGAAATTCTTCACCAAGAAGAAATACTATATGAAATATCATGCTTAGGAACGTCTCAACAAAATGCAAGGGCTGAGAGGAAGCATAAACACAAATTTTGCCAGAGCCTAGAGATTCCAAGCAAACTTTCCCATCTCATTTGGGTCAGGAAGGTGAATGTGTTTTGAAAATAACCTACCTCATTAATAGAACACCTAGAATGGTTAATGATACTCCATATGATAAGTTATTTGGAAAACCTCCATCATATGAACATATAAAGACTTTTAGGTGTTTATGTTATATTAAGAGTTTAAGCAAAATGTGAGTTAGTTTGATTCTAGAGCATAAAGGTGTGTCTTTATGGGATACCTTAAGGGTAAAAAAAGGTTGGACATTGTAAAATTTAAGAGAATAATAGATTTATGTATCAAGAGATGTGGTGTTCTATAAGAATGTTTTTCCTTATGCTTCATAAGAAAAAGGCAGTAATGGAGATTCTTACACCAATTTTCGTTCCTAATTCTTGCTTTGTTTAAGACGAAACTACACCTAGTAAACATAGACAACAAGACCAAATGGACCTCCTCATTCAAATAATAAAATATCAACGAGTTATGGAAGAGAATTTTTACGTGGTTGATAGTGTTTAAGAGTCACATGATGAGGAAGAGAGTTAGCTTATGACAAACACATACTTGTGGCCAAGGATCATAAATCCACCCAAAAATATAAATGACTATCATTGTTATTCAACAATGAAAACTCATACAAATACGTCACAAAACTCACCAACTTCTTTAGTTATGTTATATTATATATCAAATTATGGAAATTATGACGATTTTTTTAGAAAAACATCAAGTTTATCTTGCAACAAGCATCTAGGAGCCACAATCATACAATCAAGCAACGCAAAGAAAATAATGGAGAGATGTCATGCACATGAACTCAATATGTTAAGAGAAAATAAAATATGGGAGTTGGCCAAACTTGTAAAATGAAATAAGGTGTGTGAGTTGCATATGGTTATACAAAGTTAAGTGCAACACATCTAGTGAAGTTACAAAGTATAAAGTTCAACTCGTAGTGAAGGGATACACGAAAGTTGAAGGAGACGACTTCAATGAGACATTTTCACCGATTTCCAAAATGACAACCACAAGTTGCTTACTTACTATAGTAGTGGCCAAAGGATGAGATATTCTCTAAATGTTTGTAAGCAATGTATCCCTACACAAAGAATTATATGAGGAGGTATATATGGAAATACCACCAGTTTACAATGTTCCCAATGATAGCATGATATATCTCTT